CAAATACCACTAGGCTGGAACTGAAGGTGTCTACTTCTTTGTGTCTGGATTATTTTCAGTGTAATAACATATATGTACATTTTCCTGAAATTGCAAGGTAGGCAATATTTGAGCAGTTGTCCTGATTTTGCTTCAAGGTGAGGTCTATAGAGGGTCAGTATGGCACCCTTCAGGCTTACGTGACGCCAAGGCTTCAGCCCAAAACCTGCCAGGTTCGACAATACCAGATCAAACCGCTTTCCCTCCACCAAAGGACGCACGCAATCGATCAGGAGCGGTGAGCTTAGAGACATGCGATGCTTATGAATTCTTATCATGCATTTATTCTACCAGCTAAACATTCTCTCTTCATGACTAGGCCCATGAACACGTTGAGACTGACAGGACAGTTCAGTTTTGCAGAGATCCATTCCTGGGTTGTGTTCTGTCTGCCTGAGGTCCCAGAGAAAACCCCAGCAGGAGACAGCATCACATTCTACTTTCAGAACACTTTCTTGGGAACACAGCTAGAAGCCACCTATTGGTGAGGCCTTACTGTTCAGTATCCAAATATACTGCTACTAGATGATTGCGTTATTAGAGGAAGCGTTGTAATCAATCTCTATAATTTTTTAACGTGTCCCAGTAAAGGTGAGGCAAACTTCAAATCAGACAACATTTCTACCATATCCATACTGAAGGATGTTTTGTCCAAAGAGGCCACTAAGCGAAAAATCAATCTGAATACATCCTATGGTAAGTTCACCAACTGATCTTTTAACTGATGTATGTGGTCTAATAAATGAGATTCTCTGCTTGGTTAGTCCAATCACAAGTGGTTAGTGGAGATGCATTTGGGTTGCATAAGGATACTATCTGTAAATGGTGATCTGTCTTGGCTGACCACTTGTGATTGGTTCTCCTGAGACGGATGTCAATACCAGGTTAATACCATGCATCAGGTATGATTAATATGTGTCTGTTGTGTTGGTTATGTTGTTTCAGAGGTGAATGAGGACTCTGTGAGCCATACTCTTCGAATGATTCATCCCAAGCTAGAGTATCAGTTGATTTTGGCCAAAAAAGTTCAGCTTATTGATGCTTTAAAGGTAAAACATAAAAAATACTTTTAAAAACCCTGCGAAAAAACAAGCCTGCTGAGTGAGTGTGTGTGTGTTTGTTTATTGCATGCAGGAGCTGCAGGTGCATGAGGGGAATGCAGGTTTTCTGATTCCTGAGTATCGCAGTATACTGGATGAATCTGCCCAGCTCTTAGAAGAATATAAGAAACAACCAGCTCACTTAGAAAGATTGTATGGTGAGTAAATTCAGATGAGCTAGGGAGATGGTATTTTAT